TAAGTGCAGTGAGTGCTGGGTGGGTGGGGGAGCACATGTGCTCGTGTTCCCCATCATTCCCCAGCCCTCCCTGCCATGGTGGCAGCTCCCCAGATTTCCATTGTCCAGGTGGAGACCCGGTCAGTCTAACTGACAGCTGGAGCCTGCATGACTCAGCCCATCTCAGACCCAACTTTCCCTCTTCCTCCTCCTCCCCAGACCCTCCTGCTTTTGAGGCCACTGACAGCCAGAGACCCACGCCAGAGATCTGGGTGCCTCTGGCCCCTCTGTGCCCCACCGCCACATCTAGTCAGTTCTGTGCCCGCTTGGCCCCTCTACCTGTGTTCTAATGAACTCTCCTGCAGCTGCTGCGGCAGAGCCTGTCCGCACCTCTAGCCTCCGCCTCCTGTTCTCCAGTGCTTGAGGAGCAGCAGGTCCAAGGGCGAACACCTGGGGTGCGATCCCAGTGCCTACTTTAGGAGCTGTGTTACCGTGGGTAAGGAGCCCAGTGGCCCTGGGGTGAGGCATTGGACGGCTAACTGCAAGGTGTGCCATTCGAACCCACCAACCGCTCTGTGGGAGAAAAATGAGGCTAGTACTCCCATAGAGAGGGACAGATTTGAAAAGCCCATTTAGGGTGGTAGCGTAAATTGAAATCAGCTCCGTGGGAGTGGGTGGCCCTGGGTAAGTCACTATGCGTCCCCAGAGCCTTGGTTTCATCTGTCAGTTGGGACCTCCATACCTCCCTTGTTGTAAAGATCAGGTAAGATGTAACCATGGGGCAGGTGGATCTCACCAACAGTGCTCAGGGAGACTCAAGTCACTGCCATTGAATTGATTCCTATCATGGTGACCCTCTAGGTCAGAACTGCCCCGTGGGTTTCTGAGACTGGGACTTTTGACAGCAGTAAAAAGCCTCATCTTTCTCCCTCAGAGCAGCTGGTGGTTTTGAACCACTGGCCTTGCAGTGAGCAGCCTAGCCCAAACCCACTACACCACCAGGGCTCCTTGAGTGTAAGAAGGCAGACAGGAGAGCTTAAGGAGTGGGGCTCTCTTCACATAACGGTGGGACGATGGGCAGAGGAGAGCGGTCAGTCTGGGCTGGGGTTGAAGACAGGTGACAGAAATAAAGCAGGGCTTGGACCTGATTGTCACCAGAGTCGGGGTTGGGGGCTCCTTTGTGGGGCAGGAGGGGATTGTGATCAGGAAGGGACCCGCCGAGTATTTGTGACTGTGCGCTAGCTGCACAGGTGTGCTTGGATAACGATGCGTTGCCCGTAAGCAACGTACATGCTTCTTTCCATAGGTGTTCTTTACTCTGAGCATGTTAAAAATGCAGTGAGATAGCCTGTCATTCAGAGCACAGGCAGAGGCCGGGAAGCCGGCTCCAGCTGGCCGCCCCCACCCACAGTGCAGCTGACTGCTCACGGACTCGCCCCTGTGCTTGGCCCATGCCAGCCGCGGGAGAGCAAGCCGCACAGAGGTGACCAGAGCATGACCTGCATGTTTTCTGTCTTCCAGCTGGTGCGGGAACAGGGCCTGGGCCTGAGCCCTACTCTGGGAAGACCACCCTGTGCCCGCCTCAGGTCCTGCCCAGGCCCCACTGACCATGGGCGAGAGGGAGGAGGATGACGGTGATGAAGAGGAGGCCTGGCTGCAGCTGTGCCCCGTGGAGCCCCTGCCCTCCCAGTGCTGTGGCGGTGGCTGCACCCCCTGTGTGTTCGACCTCTATCACCGAGATCTGGCCAGGTGGGAGGCGGCCCGGGCCAGCAAGGACAGGAGCCTGCTGAGCCGGCAGGAGCCCCAGGTGAGGGCGGGCTGCCCCTCCCTCAGCAAGGGTCAGGGCTGCGGTCTGCGGGCCTTGGTGACCCGGCCCACGTCACCTCCTCTGCAAAGCCCCCACTGACTGCACAGCACATCCCAAGCCTGGGCCCTGCAGCTTCAGGCACAGTCCCTTTCCCAGGGCTAAGGATTGGTGATGGCTAACAGGGCCTGGCACGTGTTTAAATTAAGCCTCTTGGATTGTGTGGAGGCCCTGGGGACTGGAGAGAGATCAAGACCAGCCTTCCTGTCTTGCGCGGCGCAGACTCCAGAAACACCAGTCTCACTGCCAGCGAGTCAATGCAGACTCAGAGAGACCCTGCAGGACAGGGCAGAACTGCCCCTGTGGGTTTCCGAGACTAGCTCGTTACAGGAGTAGAAAGCCTCATCTTTCTCCCACCGAGCTGCTGGTGGTTTTGAACTGCCGACCGTGCAGTTAGCAACCTAACACATAACCACTAAGCCACCTGGGCTCCCCACGGAGCAAACTGGCACGTGGTACATACTAGGTAAGCTGGGCGTGATAATATAAATAGGGGATGCTATTATCATTACCACCGCCACTACTACGATTACACTTATTCTTTCTCCTTTCTGAACTGCCCGGGTGGGGGCTTCACGGTCTCATTGAAGCCAGGTAGCCTCTCACTGCGACGTGTGGGAAGGTTAACCCTTCTACTCTTAGAATGTCAGAGTCCTTGGCGTTCCACCCCTGCATTGTACAGAGAGGGCAACTCAGGTCTCAGTTCCTCTGTTGCTACACAGAGGCCTGCTTTGAATCCGCACGCTGGTCGCCTGCTGCTGGGTGGGCTTTCCATTGTCCATGCCCCTTCTGGTCAGTGTAGAGCAGACAGGGCTCCTCCCATGTCCAGGCAGCTCAGCTTTGGCAACAATGCCACAATGTTACCTGACGTCACCCTTGTTTTCCGCCAGTAGGACCTAAACCGACCTAGAGACGCACCATGCTTCCTCTGTCGGTATCCATTAGGTGCTGTTGTCTCCATTAACTGACCCCTGTGAGGTGGGGATGGGGTAGAGCTCCTGGCCTCGGTCCGCCAGGCAACCTGGGTGCCCTCCTCCTCTGCCCATCGGGCCAGTTCACTGTTTTCTGATCTCACTCTCTCCCAGAGGTTCCCCGGGCGACCAACCATGGCTCCTGGCAGCCCTCCTTCCCCCCACCCTATGCCCTTCTCTCCGAAGCACCACCAGCCACTGCTGTCTAGATGCCTGGTTTAGAGTTTGCTGTTTGCTGTTGACTCTGCCTGCTAAACTGGATTCCAAGAGAGGACACTGCTCTAGGCACCCCTCCACTCCCCGCCCCAGGCAGTGCAGTGGAGTTTCTCCCAGACCTCCCTGGAGCAAAGCAAAGACGCCAGGGTGCCAGCCCTCAACAAGCCCAGCTTCTAGAAGGGGGTCAAGACCCACGGTCATGTGTGGCTCAGGACCTTGCCATTCAGTTCTCACCCACTACCATGGGGCCAACCCAGTAGAACAGAGGAGAACTGCTCCTAGGGTTTCCAGGGCTGCAAATTTTTATAGAAGTAGACAGCCAGCCTCATCTTTCTCCTGAAGAGCAGCTGGTGGGCTTGAACCACCGATCTTGTGGTTCGCAGCCCACCACTTATCCTACCAGGGCGCCTAGGATTGAACTGGCAATGCGTTCAAATAACCAAGCGTCACAACACTTTTGGAGTACTTGCCATTGAAGGCTCACTTCTTGCACTTAAATGCATCGGCGTGAACTCGTTCAATCCGCTCCGACCCCTGTGTGGCGGGCGCTATCGTCCTATCGAAGAGGAAGTGCAAGTCTCAGCGCCTGACTGACTTACCCAAGGTCGTACAGCTGGGGAGAGGGGCCGGACGTGAAGGCGAGCAGTCTGACTTGAGAGCCCAGCGTGATGAGCACCGCGTGAGAGAAAGGCCCGAGGCACCGGCGGTGAGCCCAGGCCCAGGCCGGCCAGTTCAGGGTGGGATCCCGGGCACGTCCCTTTGGCTTGCTGAGTCTCGGTTTTCTCATCCGAAAAAGGGGATGTTGAGATGGTTGGTACTTGGTCGGTGGCTTTGAGGATTTCATAAGATGAAGCTGTAATGCACCTGGCACATAGTAGGTACTCAGTAAATCGCTGTTCTACCCAGTATATATAAAAGGAAAATGTACTGATATTACAGGGTTTTTATTATTTTCATAAAGAACTGCATGTTTCTACTAATATATTTTTTTTCTTTTCATAAAGTAATAATAGCAGAAGAATTTAAAATTGGTAAGCCATTTAAATTTTATAAAGGTTACCCAGGATGAGTGGCCCAGAGAGTCAAATGATAGCCTAAGGCCACGCAAGTGGACAACAGCCGGGCTGGGGCTAAGCCCGACTCCCCCGGTAGCTTAGCCGGGTGCCTGGTGGCCCTGGTGGTGATGAAGAGGTGGCCCTGAGCTTGGGTGGGAGGCGGGGGTACAGGTGTCATGAAGACCAGGCCTGTGGTGTTGGTGGCAATGCCCCAGGGAGTTGGGGCTATAAGATTTGGTGCCTCAGGGGCACTCAGTGCCCAGCCCTGAGCAGCGCGGGTCTCAGAAGCGAATTGGGTTTGGGCATTTATAGGAGAGGGGAACCCATGAGGCCTGGCACTCAGAGAAGGCTTCCTGGAGGTGGTGTAGGTGGGTTGGGGCAGTAAAGGTGCTGGGCTCCACCTTAGAAGACCCACACTTGAGTCCCTGCACCCCATGTGGCCCTGGACAAGTAAGCCTTAGACCTCAGCCGGCCACTTAGAGCACCCGTAGGCCCCATCACTCTCAAAATGCTGTCCATCTGAAGCTGAGCAGATGGGCAGGGTGGTCAAGACTGACAGAGACTCGAATGTGTGTTCTGGGTAGAACTCAGAGCTTGAGCAAGGAAGCACCCAGAGGCAGGAGGCAGCAGGGCATTTGGGAGGGATGAAGGAAAGACAGCACCGGTCGCATTTGAGGTCCACTGAGGCTGGGTGGGACCCAAGGCCCCGAGTGTCCAGCTAGGCGCCGGCTTTGTCCAGGGCCAGCTCTGTGTCAAGTGCCTGGCACCCTTAGGCCCTAGCACGAGAGCAGTGAAGATGGGACTGGGCTCCGTCATACAGAAAACGCTCCGTGCAGCCAGCCACTCAGTGGGAGGGGTGGGTGCCTGGACGTCCCCGATCCCGGCCCTGGGCCTGACGGACCTACTGCTGTTACAGAGCTGCCCTTCCGGCTTGAACCCAGAGACCTTCCTGGCCTTCAGCATCAGCACCGTGGACAAAGTCACTGAGGACACCTATCTGGCCCGCTTTGCATTGCCTAGGAACAGCCAGCTGGGCCTGCGGCCTGGCCAGCACCTCATCCTACGGTACATGCGGGCGGCAGTGGCAGAGGGCCCCGGGTTGCCATTTGGTGCCTGCAGGCCCCTGGCAGCAGGCTCCCCTACAGGACCCCAGGGGAGCAGCGGGCCCCACTGCTGCTGTCACCAAGCTGGGGCAGAGAAGGAACATGGTGAGGGTTTGCGGCACCGCTGGCCGGCCATGAGGTGACTCTGCGCTTTCTTTTTTCCAGAGGGACAGCGGGTGGCTTAGAAGTTCAGAGAGCGTATACGCCCATCAGCCCTGCCAATGCGAAAGGATACTTTGAAGTTTTAATTAAGGTGAGCTGACCCACCTGAGGATGTTCTGAGATGCCAGGGACCGGCGCCCCGCTTGCCCATTTGCTTGGAGCAGGCCAGTTCCCACTGGTGTACAAAGCCCGTGTCCGAATGGGAGGAGGCTGGTGTGCAGCTGGGGCAGGGTGGTGGGAGAGACCCTCCCCCAGCTCCTCCTCTCTGGGATGCGGGGGCTGCTAGACCACCACTGCAAGGCCCACCCCTGACCAGGAACAGACAAGACGGTGAAGGCTCCGCGTCCCACCTTTTACCCATTGGAGTTCAGGGAAAGGGGCCCAAACACCTCAGCTCTTGTGCTGGGCTGGGGCCCTGCGATGAACCCACAGAGGGCAGGTGAGCAGTCCAGGACTGGACGCCATGGACAGAGGAGGCAATACCAGGGTCACCAGAACGACATGGACACTTCCCTCCTAGAGTCCGCACAGGGGACACCGCCTCTGACACTTTGATTCTGGACTGGGGGGGCAATATGTTCCTACTGTCTGACGTCACCTGCTCTGTGGTCACTTGTTAAGGCAGCCCCAGCATCACTCCAGTGTCTGCCTCTGGCCCCAGGGTGACCACAGAGCCCTCCCTGTGGGCCTCTTCTTTTAAGGACCTCAGTCGTTGGGGTCAGAGGCCATCCGAGGTCAGTGTGACTTCATCCTAACTAATGACGTTGGCAGTCATCATTCTTCCAGATGAGGTCAATCTGGAGGTTCCGAGAAAGACGTGGGTTTTGGGGGGGCCGGGCAGCATTCAGTCCAGTTCACTGTGCCCAGGGGGCGGGATGCAAGCGAGAGAATCAGGTGGCACAGGGAGGACTGGGAGGGCAGGGTCATTGAGCTGGGCCTTGAAGGGTGCGAGTCAGGGAAAAGTGCTCCAGGCCCAGGGGCGGGTAACCAGAGACAAGAAGGGGTCTCCGGAGGCCTCAGGTCTGAAGTGGCTGGAGGCCAAAGTTGACTGACGGGAGATGAACTTGGCATCAGACACGCCCAAGGTCTAGGGCCCGTGGAAGTTGAGTAGGTCCACAGCGCTTCCAAGGTTGTGCTCTTGACAGAAGTAGACTGTTGGGAGCTGCCAGTGGGTTCGAACCACTGACCTCCTGGTTAACAGTGGAGTGTCTAACTCCCTGTGAGCCCTCTGGAGTAGGCAGCAGGTGCAGGGAAAGTCGTGAAGGGCCACTGAGGTGGAGGCAGTCATCGGCTTGCCACACCGTGGGATTGCTGATCCTCTGATGGACACGAAGACAGCAGTGTGTGTGGGTCAACCTAATACATGGTTCCAGAGAAGTGCTTCCCAAAGCGGGCGAGCCCCCACCCCCCACCCCCGTGTCTGGGTGGGCGCTGGAGTGACCCATGGGGGCTGCAAAAGCAGTTCCCTACACTTGACCTGCCCCATGGGCTCTGCTACACAAGGTTTCCATTGCTGGGCAGCAGTAGCCACCGTCTTCTAGGAAGAGCGTGGGGGGAGCCTGTGCGAGTCTACACCATCGCTCTCCAAAGGGGACCCGACACCCCCATGTAAGAATAGCCCTCACATTCTTTCTGTATCCCCCTTGTGGGCCAGGAATTATGATTCCCACGCCACCAATCAGCAGACTGAGAACCCAGGAGGAGCCCAGACTCCACAGCTAGAAAGAAGTACTGCTGGTGGGAGCGCCCGGGAGGGCCCCCAGCGCTGCCTCCGCCCGCCTTTCCTGGCTGCCGGCGTTTATCCCTCACACATAAATAAGCTTGGATGGGATCCCTTCTCCACACAACTGTTTGTCTGGGAGATTCCGCAAGTCCTCTCCAAATGGCCTGCTTCCCCCACTGCTTGTCTGGGGTGCTCTGCGGGAGGGATAAGCCGGGAGATGCGCCACAGGCTGCGGGCCTCTCCCCACCCGCAAGGCCTGTGTTTTCCTCCGCTTACTGAAACGCCTCCCTTCAGAGAGCTGCTTAATTACCCCTAAGCCGCTGGCTGGGAAGAGCCAGACATGTCTTTGCAGGTTGAGAAGCGGGCGGGTGTGGGATGTTAGGCCTGCCCTGTGTGGAAAGGCAGGAGGCACGGCGTTCTCAGGTACCTGCGGGCTGCAGGTGCTGCTTCTGGTTCTGGAGTCTGGTGACCTCATCCCGGCGTCACAGTTGCCCAGCGTCATAGCCCAGCAGACCACACGACCCCATGTCACAGATGTGGGAACAAGGGACTGGCAAGAGAGTGCATGCGGGCAAATTGTTTCTTCTCGTATTTTAAGAAACCTGGCAGGCCAGGATTCTGGGTGGAGGGAGGTCTTTGCCCTTGTGAGTGACAGATGAGTCCCAATCACATTCTCATACCTAAGATCGATCCCCACAATCCTCCTATAGTAGTGCTGCCTCAAAGTTACCTCTCACTGCCCCGTGGCTGAATGCTCTCTACCTGGCAGGTTTGTCTTTAGGAGCAATCACGTTGTTCCTGCTCTCCTTGCTCAGGGGACTGTCACTCCCTCCCCCTCACCTGCTCCCAGCACTGGTGTGAGGTTACAGTGAACCCTCGTTTATCACGGTTAATCAGTTCTAGACCCTACCGTGATAAATGAAATTCCGTGAAGTAGGATTCCTTATTTGTAAATCAAATATTTTCATAGTTAGAGCATAGAGGACATGAAAAAACACCCTTTAGTCACCATTACACTCGTATTACCCAATTTATTAAATGAAAAAGGGAAAATGCAGTAAAACATTGTGGACGTTACAATTATCATTTATTATTTATTATATTATGAAGTACAACGGATGGAGCGAACAGAAGACTCATTCAAGTCGAAATGGCGTGCAACCTCCACGATTTTCTTGCCATCTTTGATCATATCCAAAAGTTTTACCTTTTCCTGGATGGTGAGCATCTTCCTCTGGCGCTTATTTTTATTGTCAGAAGGCTTAGAAGAAGCAGCTCGTTTAGGAGCCATCATAGGGCTTAGATAAAATTTCTTAAAAATCACAAACAATTACAGCACACTGTACAAAAGCAAAAATGCATCTGATACGTAGCTCCGATACATAGCGATGCAGACAGAAGCGTGTACAGTATGAGCCAATCAGTGGCAGTAATGACAGAGCATGCGCTGTTACGCAAAAACCGCGATAGAGTGAAGCCGCGGAAGTCGAAGCGCGAAGTGGCAAGGGTTCACTGTACTCCTCAAATGAACTCAGGGACCTTTAGGGTCAAGGGACAACCCACTTTGTTACCTATGTGGTTAGCTGTCATTAGAGGGGGGGCTTGCATGCCCCAGAGTATCTAAGGGGATGTGAGAATGCAGTCTTTCTCTCTGCCTAAAACCATGATGGAGGCGAACACCCCAAAACGTTTGTCTCTTAATGTCTTCCCTTCGATGCTACAACCATCCCTCGGGACCCATCTGGATGTGAGACTGGATCTCACGAAACTCGACGAAAAGATCGCCAATGGGGGTCTTCAGTGCGTGTGCTGCTCATTCCAGGCCCCGACGTCAGTCCTTCCCTGTCCAAAGCACAGAACCGTGAAGGGGCACAGAGACACCTGGAAAGAACTCCTTCAAAGAGCCAGTGGTGGACCCCTTAGCCTCGGTCTCCGACCCTGGAAGCAACTCCGGGTACCTGGCTCTCCAGGGGCACGCCGAGATGGCTGCGTGAGCAGGTGCGTTGCTGTGTTGGCAAAACCAGGCCCCTGTCTGCCATCAATCAGGCCTTCCAGTGGAAGGGCTGCCAGTGGAAGGGCCTGGATAGCGGGGAAGACGTGGAGCAAAAGTAAAAATGATAGAAGCAGTCAGAAGGCAGTCTTCCTGGTCTGATAGGGATGACTGGGGCTCAGTCACTCCCCGGGTCTGGAATGGGGCCCGCCCACCCCTGGGGCTCAACTTGCAGCCAGTGGTGGGTGGGCCTGTAGGGTCACCAGTAACACCCGAGAGATGGAAGGGCATCACGAGAGATGGAAGGGCATCACGTACAGGGACAGAGCCCGGAAGGCGGGAGGAGATAGAAAGATGGAAGATTAGGGAACGGAACCAGTGAGCACTGGGAGGATGTGGGAAGAGTGTGGTCACACCACGGATTGCAGTCAATTCCAGGAAACAACATGTGCATGCACTGGGGGATGGAAAACGGATCTGCTCTGTAGACTTTCACCCAAATCAGTCAGACGTAAAACAACTAAAAGCAGCATGATTCCATCGTCCCCAGGCCCCCTGGGAAATACAAGGGGTACCCAGCAACAAGAACAACATGGAGTTGCGCTGGTCAGAGTGGAGCTGTCGCAGTACACATTTTTCCTGTAGGTGAGCATCTGCAGCTCGCTCTGAGTGAACCCAGCGGCGTCTCCTGGGAAGGTTCTCTCTGGTCACAGTGAAGTTTTCCGTGAAAGCAGTTTCATGCGAGCCACTTTTTTTGTGATGGCTGATTTAAGAGAACAGCATGCAGCTGTGAAATTTTGTTTCCTGCTCAGGGTAAAATGGCGAAGAAACTGTTGAACACAGCTCACAAGGACAGCGCTATGGGAAACACTCAAGTGTACAAGTGGTTTTCTCTTTTCAAAAAAGGCGAGATGTCGATTGTTCTAGATGTCTGTCAACTCCCTGAACTGACGAAAATGTTGACTTGTAGTGCCTTTGGAGTTTGTCCCACCAGGTCAGACTGTGAATCGAGATTTCTATTTAGAGGTTCTGAAAAGATAGAGTAACCGTGTGTGACCCAAAAGGCGTGATCTGTGGCAGACGGGGGACTGGTTTTGCCACCACGACAATGCACCTGCTCACACAGCCATGTCAGTGTGCCTGTTTTTGGCAAAAAAATAGCATGCCTCTCTTTTCCCATGCACCTTATGCTCCTGACCTCACTCCATGCGACTTCTTTTTGTTTCTGGGAATGCAGAGGGACGTGAAAGGACCGTGTTTTGAGGATGTAGAAGAGGTGAAGAAAAAACGAGGGAGGTGCTGTCAGCCACCCAAAAAGATGAGTTTGAAAAATGTTTCCCAGAATGGAATCGCAGATTTGACAAATGCATTCAGTGTCATGGACAGTACTTTGAAGGCGATAAGGTTGTTTTGTAAAAAAAGTTAAATACATGGCTTTGAAAAAAAAAACCATTTTGTGGGGTGGGGCTCCCCGGGGGGGGGGGCTCCCTCTCGTAGGCTCCCGTAGGCTCCCACTTGGAAGAACAGAAGCTGAGTCTCAGGCACAAGTGTGTCGTGACACCTACAGTGCCAGGCTCCATGGGAGGAGAGCCCTGCCCTTCTCCTTGGGGGATGAGTCTGAATGAATTAGTCAGTTCATTCACCTTGATTAAGTCCTTCCCCTGGTCTAGGTCCTGGCTGCCCTCATGGAGTATATGGTCTAACTACCCCCCTGCCACCCCCGCCTGGTGCCTGGCCCAGAATAGGTAGGAACCCAGGAACTGGGGGTAGCCCTCGCCTGGCTCCCACCAAGGAATCCTTTCTACAACCTTTATTTTTCAACCACCCAGAGGATGGTACAGGCTAGCCCACACATCAATCTCATTCAGGCCGTACCCACTGAACTAGCTGCCACGAGGTTGATACCAACTCTTAGGAGGGTCGTGTTCAAAGCAGAGCTGCTTCGCCGGGGTCTCGTGGCTCTGAGCTTTGAGAAGTACATTTATAGGCTTTTCTTCTGAGGCCCATCTGGGTGGATTCAAACCTCCGGCCGCTCAAGTAGAAGCCGACTGCTGCATCTTTTGTGTTACCAGGGCCTCCAATGGCAGTTTCAGTATCTGAACCAGCTGGTGATATTCCGGAACTGGGACTGTTACATGCAAGGGCAGACTGCAGATCTGGTGACGTCGGCCTGCAGGCTGGAACTGTGAGATGGCCTCCCCATCATTGGCAGCATTAACTTGGCAGTTTGCCTCAGGCCTATCACTCCCAAAGAGCCCTGGTTTCACCGTGGGGCTCGCACCGTTCAAACCACCGGCTGCTCCTAGGGAGACCGGTGAAGTTTCCTGTTCCTGTAGATAGACGGTCTCGGAAACCCCATAGAAGGTCATTATGAGTCGGAATTGACTCGGTGGCAGAGGGTTGGGTTGGGTTTGTTCCTGCCCCGACCGTGTCTCTGAGACTGCGTATTAATGAATATTAACCGTCTTAGACAACGCTTATCACACAGTTAGGCTGATTGGCTCTGCCTGCCTGGCTCTGGCAGGCAGTTGGGTTTGCAACCTCTGTGGTTAAGCTATAGGTTTTCATCCCAGCCTCACCGGGCCCCTTCTGGGGAAGCATCAGCCTCACTTGAGCCATGGGAATGAGAGATCAGCCGCCCTGGTGACTGGGCGGAGTCGTGAAGTCGCACGTGGACAGCACTGAGCCAGCAGGTGGGGGTCCACGAAGCGGCCCCTGGGGTTTGCCGTGGCAGCACGTGGCTGCCCCACTGAGGCCGCCCGCTGTGTGCTTCCAGTGCTACCAGACGGGGCTGATGTCGCGGCTCGTGGAGTCCTGGAGAGCAGGAGACACGGCTTTCTGGAGAGGGCCGTTTGGAGGCTTCGTCTATAAACCAAACCAGGTCAGTACAAGACCCTGTTCGGCTCACCCGCCCAGACGGCCGCTTTATGTTTCAGGGCCCCGAACCTCCCCATGCTTTTCTTCCCGACCACAAACCCAGTCCCAAGCACATCCCTGGGGTTAGGCACAGGCGGAGGTGGACCAGGCACCCGTGAACAAAGCTGCCTGTCCAAGCTCCAGCCCATCCATGGTGTCCATGGCTTAGAACCCCAGGCTCAAGCCCCGGGAGTGAGGATCCCTTGCTTCCGTCGGAACAGAAGATGTTAAAGGGAGGAAGTGCAAACTGCCCTGAAAGCATTAGCAGAAACCAAGGCTCCAGGAGTTGACGGGATACCAGCTGAGCTGTCTCCACAAGCCCATGAAGCCCTGGAAGCGCTCCCCTAGGTCAAGACTCTGGAGGGCACATCCGCCTTTGGGCCTGCTCCAAGAAAGATGATCCAGCAGAACATGGACGTTAGCCAACAGCACATGTATCACAAGCAAGTCAAATGGTGCTGAAGATGAAGGACAGTGGTTACAGCAGCCCAGCGGGGGGCCGTCGCCCATGCAGAGGTCAGACGGTCCGGGCTGAAGGAGAACACCGGAACGATGCTTGCGTTGGCTTGATTGGCTATGCAAAGGCATTTGTGGGGAGAGTAAGAAGTTAGGGATAAGGCTGAGAAGAAGGGGAATTGCAGAAGATTCCATTGTGTTCAAGCTGAACCTGTACAGAGGTCAAGAGGCCATCTTTTGAACAGAACAGGGGATACTGAGTGTTCTAAACTCAGGGAAGGTGTAGGTCAGGACTGTATCCTTTCCCGTAGTGATCCAACCTGGGTGCTGAGCCAATTGTCTGAGCAGCTGCACGAGATGCAGTACGTGATGCCGAGTCGAGGACAATGCATCAACAACCTGCAATATGCCAATGACAGGTGCTGCCTGGCAAAAGTGCAGAGGCCTTAAAGCACGTGCCGATGAAGCGCACAACCTGCTGCCTTCGGTATGGATTACACCTCCACAGAAAGAAAACCAGATTCCTCACTAACTAGCCAGTGAGCAGCATCACGAGGAACAGAGAAGGTGCTGACACGGTCCAGGATTTCATTTTACTCGGATCCGCCGTCAATGCCTTCGGAAGCAGCAGCCGAGACGTCAGACCGCGCATCGCATTGGACAGAGCCACACAGTATGTCTTCAGAGTTAAAAAGCAGAGAGGCCATGTGAGGCCCACATGTGCCTGGCCCCGCCCTCTGGGTCCAGAATGCCTGAGTGCGGGACAGTGACTGAGGCAGTCCGAAGTGTGCGTGCATATGACTCGTGGTATTGGCAAAGGGCCATGCCGTGGACCACGGGCCGGCAAGCTGCGGCTGCAGGGACCAACGTGGGGCGCCGAAGTACAGTGGAACAATGTGAACGGGTATGATTCTGGCAATGGTGACTTCATTTGTTTGTGAAAATACATTTGTGGCTCTTGAATAATTTTTAAATTGTTGTGAGGGACAGGATCGGCTCTTCCTTCTCAAAAGTTTGCTGACCCGGCTGTGGACGACCAGAGGTCCACACGGATCTACCTTGGAAGTACAGCCAGAATGCTCATTAGGAGCGAGGAGGGTAAGACGGCATGGTTACTCAAGTAGGGGGTCAGCGAAGAAGAGGAAGCCCCTCAACGCCATGGACTGGCACAGGGGCAGCCACAGCGGGCCCAGATGCCACCAGCGCTGTGAGGCTGGTGAGAGCAGGCAGTGCTGCGCTCTCCTTCCCTGGGGTCGCGGTGATCGGCCGGAACTGCCTGGTTGGCACCCAACACTGACAGCTTTGGTAAAGATTGACAGATTCGGGAATTCTGTGGAGCGGCTCCACTTTGTCCTGTCGGTTCACTAGGCGACAGGTTTTCATACCCTCTGGGAGGCCCGGCGGGGTGCAAACAGGTAACCTGCTTGGTTCTAACCAAATGATAGGAAGTGAATGCCACCCGATGCCCCTGGGAGGAAAGGCCTGGTGATCTATTTCTGGAAACTCAGTCATTAAAAGCCCCCTGGAGCACAGTACAGGGAGGGGGTGTCACTCGACAGCTACCAGTGGGGACATACTGTCTGATACAGCCCCAACGCCAACACCTTGTCAGTTTGACAACCCAGTCACATGACTAGAGAGACGGTCTCCTCGGGCTGCCCATGTCCCGCTGCTCCGACCTGCTGCTTCCCAACCCCGGAGGCTCTGCCCTTGTCACGGAGACCTACTGCAATCCTTCCCTGACTCTCAGAGAGAAGTGCTTATTTCTCACCCCTCTGTGCCTACTTAGAGAGCAGCTGGCAGTACAAGGAGGCTTACCAATTACCCAAATGCATTAACTTTTAATTCCATGGTTCCACAAATTTGGTGAGGCCTTCTGGTATATGCCATGAGTCTTAAGAATCTTCAGATCCTTTGGCCTAGGAATTCCACTTCTGGAAGTGCATTCTATGGAAGGAATCCAAAATGCAGACTCTTGTACACGTTGAAAACCTGATAGCATGAAATTGGAGACACCTGAATTTCCAGCAATCAGGGAGCTGGCCAGTCAACTGGGATCTAAGTCCCTGGTAAAACATGATCCTGGATCTGAAAATGATCCTCAGAAACGATGTGCTGTGCTTATGCTATAAGCTGAAGTGACAAATGCTAGGTACGGAACTGAAGACACCATTGAGAAACCATGTTCGAATGCACAGAAGAGAAATGTGGAAAGAAAAGGCAATGAGGTGCCGGCCGCGTTGGATGGTGGAAATATGGGGCTTTTTCTCTCCTTCACGGGACTTTCCGGGACTCTTCCAAATTATCTGCCACGAGCACCTATTACCTTTATAATTAGAAAGCCAAAGGAAAACGAAAACAAATGGAAAAGAATGAATCATGCCTCCCTCCCTGCTCTTTTTGTTTAACTTAAAAATAGCTTTTATTGGTTTTTTTCTTATTACACATGCAGCACACGTTCATTGCCAAAAAGAAAACCAGCAGAGACCGAGAGGCAGAAAAGAAGGAAATAAAACCCCCGCCAGGCTGCCTCCCAGATGCGCCAGTCTTAGCGCCTCCGAGCCTGCACGGGGACATAAACATGTATCAGCACACACGTGTGCACACGTCTGGATGATGTGCATCCAATAACCACATCGAAGGCTGGTGTGGCACCTCCCATGTGCCAGCTGTGGTCTTGGCATTTGTCACCCTCACAGCAGCCCGTGGGTTTGAGGATCTCCACGGGACGGTGTTGAGTTGCATACCTCTTACTCCTCCTCGGTCTGCTGGCAGGAGCCATGCTCAGCCCTGCGGGTGAGCTGAGTCAGGCTCTGGGAGCAGAGATGGAACTTGCTCCTATTTTTTTCCCCCATAGCACCAACAGTGGACCCTGTGAAAGGGGTCTTGACCCCCAGCTCCTTGTGCCAGGCCAGTAGGGGCGGGCCCCTCGTGTTCATTGCGCGGCTCGGAATGAACCTGGGCACAGAACCCTGCTTGAAATTCCCTGTGTCCTATGTCCAGGGAGGCCGTGGGGCCAAGGGGTGAGGAAAGAGGTGGCGTCTCAAGCATGAACAGCCAGCCCCGGAGATTCCCGCCAGGCCTGGCTCTGCCCTGGGAGGAAGCTGGGGTGGCAGAGGGCGGCCCTGCCAACTTCCTGGCTCTGTTTTGCCTCTTTGGGTTGTCTTCATTCCAGGTGGCCCTTGGGGACTGGCCATGTGTTCATTCAGGAGACCCATCAGCAACCATGCAAGAAGCTGGGCCCCCCAAATCTGATGCTTCTGTCCACCAGAAGTCTGATGCAGGAGACAGATGCTTAACACCACACTATGGCCAGTGTTGGGAGAGGGACGCCTGGGCCATGGGAACCCAAGGGAAAGGCCCCAAAGGGAGGGCTTCCCAGAGGAGAGCTGAAATGGGGCCACGACAGGAGGGTAGCAGGCACGAGGCCTGGAGCCTGCCCAGGCGACTAGGCTCAGCTACCGCTGCCTCCAGGACCATATCGGGCTAAGGGCGGGCACAGAATCTGGTTTTCCTAAAACCTCAGACTCTGCACCAGGCACGTAACCCACAGGGCCTCGCGTCGTGCTCACGACAGTTCTGAAATCGGTGCCGCTGTTGGAGGAGGTGCCTTACTGGTTCCCTGCTCAGCGAGCTCAGCGAGGTGAAAGGACCGCCCGGGTCACCCAGCTGAGCAGGTGGGATCGGAGGCAGCATGGTGCAGTGCTGCACTCGGAGTGCCCGTCTTGGGAACGAGGGAGGTGGCTGCCCTCCTGCCCAGCTCTGGCACCCCGTGGCAGGCGTGCGGACTCCAAAGGCTGAGCCCCTAAGCCCCATCCACTGCAGCAGGGCCTGTCCTGACTCTGGTGGCCCTCCAGGACAGAGCAGACCTGCTCCTAGGTGTCCAGCCTGGCAGAGTCAGAGAGAAACAGACAGCCTGGTCTTTCCCCTCAACAGCCAACCTGGCAGTCAGCAGCCCTGTGCTTAACCCCTGGTGCCACCAGCAGCCCTTTCCAGGGGTCTAGAGCCAGGACATTGAGGAGGGGCTGATGGCGTTGGGGGCTCCTTAATGGGAACTGGCCTTTCCTGCATGGCTCTTCCATGCCAGGCACTTAAGTACGTGATCTCATTGTAGCTAGAGCAGGACAGGCTTGGGGCCCAAGGCTGGGCCCACCGACCTTTGCAGGGCTGCCCTGGGGCAGACGAAAGTGCCCAGAGGGCAAACTAGGATGGTGGGCTGTGGGCGAGGCTTTGGCAGGAGTAGGCTTCAACCTCAGTGTCGGGGGAGGAGCATCTCCCTGGTAAGCAGGGTGGACCTGACGGGACAAGCAGCTGTGGGAGGGAGGGAGCTCCCTGTCAGGGGAAGTGTGTAAGCAGCCCAGTAGGATGCTGAAAGCGGCAACCAAACCACTTATAAGGTGTACTCCACCGGGGGACTCCCCACCAGCCCCAAGGCCATGGTTCATGTCACACAAACCTCACCCAGTGTAGTCTTTTACAAGCAAGACCAGCTTCTTGCAGGAGACAGATGATGGGTAGGACGCAGAGGAAGGGCTGTAGGGCCCAGCCCAAGCCAGCCCAAGAGCAGGCCTGGTACTGGGGTGGTTGGAGTGAAATCCCTCTGCCCCAGGGGTGTCCCAGCCTACCCTGTCTTGTGCTGTGCCCCTCCCCATCCCCAGTACGGTGAGCTCCTCATGCTGGCTGCAGGCACGGGCCTGGCACCCATGGTGCCCATCCTGCAAAGCATCACGGACAATGCCGATGACGAGACCTTCGTCACCCTGGTCGGCTGCTTCAGGACCTTTGAGGGCATCTACCTGAAGCCGTTCCTCCAGGAGCAGGCCCGCTTCTGGAACGTCCGCACCTTCTTCGTGCTCAGCCAGGTGAGCCTGGGTGGCGACATCCTTCCCCGATGGAGACTTGGCAGGGGCCCCTTGTCCCCTCACTTCCCCTCCCTCACCACTGGTGCAGCACCTGCAGGCAAGCAAGAGAGGCCTCTTGTGTTCATCACACAGATGCAGATGCGCCTTGCCCTCACTGCCTCCCGTGGGCCTCGTGAGTTAGATGGGGTGGGCCAGACATTTAATTCCCCGGGCTGTGACCAGGCCCTGGAGGCAGGGGTGGCGTTTCTAGATCACCCCTCCCTTTCTGCTCTGCATTGCAAGGAGCAGACCACCCAGAGCCTGACTGAAGTTCAGCTGCATTGATGAGGGTCTCTGGTGCAAACCGGAAAGGTTGCCAGCTCAGACCCATCCAGAAGCACCTTGGAAGAAAGGCCTGGTGATCTGTGCCCTGGAGGTCCCCAGCCTTGAAACCCCCGCGGGGTTAGTTCTACCCTTCTCTGCCTCCCACCCCCACCGCAGGAGTAGCCATGCGTTGGAATCCACTCGATGGCTAGGATTCCGACCCCCTGCCTCTCTCCCCATCCTCTTTCTGTGGGGGAACTAGAAGCATCAGGTGCCATGGAGCCAGTGGGTGTCATTAAGAGAGGAGCTGGGCGCCACGGGGTCTGCAGGGGCTGGCTTTTTTGGAAGCAGGTGTCTGGCCTTTGGTCCAGCCCTTCTGGGTGGGCTCCCACCTCAAGCCTCTCACTCAGCGGCCAAGCATGTTTGCTATTCCCACCCACCCACGGGGACCCCTGGCTTCTTAGAATCTGCCACGTCCCTGCTTGTCATTCGGATGCTGGGCTGTATGGGTGTCTTGTTGAGAATTTTTCCAACCAAGCCTCCGTGAGGCCGGTGCCCACTGCTATGTCTGCGTTGAAATGTGTGTTTACAAACAGACAACCCAGCAAACCTCTGGGCGTAGGATGATTTCACTCCGTTGTCATTATTTTATCAAAGTGAAAAGATCGCACCATCCCCTAGCTGTTTCACGTGCGTGGAGCGAGGCCCGTGGTGGTGAAGGCACTGCTGCCAGGCATTCGATACCCGGGGCGGCCTGGTGTCCCCATCCAGTCACCTCTCCGCGCCCGCCTCCCTGAAAACGTCATCTCAGCATCTGCAGTGAGCAGCTGCCGGGCCCCCGCGATTAGAACAGCACCTGCCCCAGTGAGAACTCAGCAGACACTCGTCAATTGAATGACTGAGTTGGGGTCTCAAAGAAAACAGACGGCAATTGCACCCCAGGGTGGTGGTGCTGGGTGAGTGCTCAGGACCCATTCCTGAAGCCCCTCCCCTGGGGAGAACCGCTCGCCCAGAGTGACAGCCACAGCAGCCAATAGGAAGCGGCGAGGGGTGGGGAACCCGGCTTCCAGTCCTGCTGAAGCCCAGACTAAGCACCTCTCCCTCCCGCGCCTCTCCTGCTGTGACCGCCTGTCCACCAAATCAAGTGCATTCCTGTCCAGCTGGTTCTGACTCATAGCGGCCCTGGAGGGCAGAGCGGAGCTGGCACAGAGGGTGGCATCCTTACTGAAACAGACTGCCACAGCTTTCTCCCTTCGAGCTGCTGGTGGGTTCGAACCAGCGACCTCTGTTAGCAGCTGGGTAGTTAACCACTTTACCACCTTGCTGTAGTAGAAGCAGGGGCAGGCCGTGGGCTCTTGAGAGTCATCCCTGCTGTTTCTCGTCTCCCCAGGAGGACTCCCCGGAGCAGCTCCCCTGGAGTTACCGGGACAAGACGCGCTTTGGCCGCCTGACCCAGGACCTGATAGATGAGCTGGTCGGCTCCTGTCGCAGGAAGCCCTATGCCCTGGTGTGTGGCCCGTCGGAGTTCAACAAAGACATGGCCAAGGGCTTGGTGCGGGCGGGGCTGGCCGAGGGCTCCTACTTCCTCTTCTAGCCCTAGCCTCCCTCTCAGGGGCCTGCCTGCCTGGGCTGAGCCCCAAGGACCAGAAGGGATTGGACAGAAGGGGTGGGGGCTTCTTGGAGCCCGGCTGAGGGGGCTATTAGATGTCCCCGTGGGAGCCTGCGTGACACAGTCGGGCCGTGAGCATTCCAGAAATGGCTGGAAAAGAAGTCCCTGAGAGGAGACATTGTCCTGTGTATTTTCAGTGCCACAAGCCTAGGCCCCCAGTAAGGCTTGGCTTCTGTGGCCTGACCCCAGAGCAGCGGGGCCCTGGATCACCTCTAGTTCGTAACCACTACACATGGCTTTGCCCTGAGCCTCCCTCCCCTACTGGAGAGCCCCGCCCACAGCCACCACCACCCCTCCCCGCGGCAAAAGAGGTGCCCCTCCCGCTTCCAGCCTGCTCAGGCTCCGCTCTGCAAGCACCTTCAGCTCCCGCGCCCTGGAGACGGTTGCTATGGAGATCTAAAGATAGAGCAGGAGTCTGGAGACCTGGGTCCTTCTAGCTCTGCCCACTGAGCGGCTGCTAATTCCGGTCCACCCACCCCACCTCTTCCATCCTGCACCGGGCGTGCCCTCCCCAGGGATCCGGGCGCTGGCAGCCACTCACCGCAGCTAATGAATTCTGCTGTTCCCTGCTGGGCCCCAGGGCACGCTGCCAGTCAGCCTGGCTCCTGGACATCCCCAGTCAACGCCAGGGAACCCTAGAATCTGGGGACCTGGATGCCTGGCACTTGGGCTGGATGATCGCAGACTCCATCAGTCAAAGATTAAGTTCATCGTCCAGGATGCACCCAGGCTGTCAGACGTGGGGAAACTGAGTCCGTGGGGAAACTGAGGCCCGATGAAGATCAATGGTTTGCCCAGAGCAAAGCAGTCACGACAGAGGCAGCATCAGAAGCCTCTTCATTTCCATCCCAGGCTCAGACCCGGCTCTGCCTCAAACTGGGCTCCTCCCCCACTGGGCAGCGGCATGATGGGATGTTCTCGTGGGGTCCCCAGGCCTGCCCCACCCCCCTTGAGTCAAGCAGTCCCGCTTTTATCCCGTTTTTCTACGGGGCCAGGGAGTGCTTGGGTTTATCTCCCCTCAGTGTGCATGTGGGTGAGGTGGAAGCGGTTTCTCTCTGCCCAGAACCTGTGCCTGGTAGCTGAGCGGTGCCACGAGCCATCATGATGGCCCTTTGGGGATGATGGCAAAGTCCTCAAACGATTTCATGGGGAGATGTCAGGGTCAGGTCAAGTCCGCGTGGGGTAACCGTGTCTCTTGGCCTCAGAATCGCAATGTGTTCTGGCACGCCCAGAACCCTGACACTGCTGCCACCGAGTGGCTTTGAGGCAGCCAGGCCCACGCTTGCCGAACAGGGCTGCCACGCACTAGCTTCTCAAGGGGCGCTGTTCCAAAGCAGGCCACCAGGCCTTTCTTCCACTGCCCCTCTGGGTGAGTCACCCCGGCAACCTTCCGGTCAGAGGCCCAGCACCCAGCTATGCCTGCCACCCAGGGACTCATTAGCATATCAGGGCTCTGGAAAGAACCTGCTTACCTTTCCTTTGGCTCTGAGTTTCTCAAGCCTGTCCAAGTACAGGGCACTCCATCCTCCAGAACCTTGTGACCCCCGAATTCCAGGAACTACACACCCACCGGGAGACACCAGCGTCTTTCACATCTCCTGATCCAGCTAGTGAATGGGGACAGCCCGGGCAGGGCCCGTGGCTGCTACTTCCTGGGCCTGCGACGGTGTAGATGGGACTCCCAAACCCACGCATGCGGTACATTCTGACTCGCAGAGTAGAACTGCCCCTGTGGGGTCCCCATCTTCCTCTCCTGGAGGAACTGGTGGGTTTAAACTGCCAACCTTGTGGTTTGCAGCCCAACACGTAACCAGCGCCCAAGCCACCAGGTTTCCGTGCGTGACTCTCAGGACCTCTGAAATCTAGGGATTCCTCTCCCCAGTCCCATGGCTCTGCAGTGTCCCTCTAAGCAGTGCCCCTGGCATGCCTGTTCTGAGCCAGGCTGCTGGGGGCGCCAGGAAACAGCAGTGAGCGGGCAGGTGTGGCCCTTCTGTCTGCAGACGCTACCCTTGTAATTCCAGAAGCAACGAGCGCCATCCAAGGGAGGTGGGTGGACTGCAAGGACGTTTGGCCCGACCTGCCATTGCCACTGAGGCTGGAGACACCAGAGGCCATACTCACAAGGTTATCCCCACCTAGGGGTAAAGGGCCTACGGACGTCCCTGTCCCAGCCCCCTGCTGTTGAGATGTTAGGGCCACCACAGCCCCTGGTGCCCTTCCCCTCCCTCTGTGCTGCTGCTGTGCTGCATGGCACATTTGGTGCAGATCCAGGATGCCAAAAGGTGCCCCCTGGGGCCACCATGTAAACAGTGCAGACCGGGGCCATGCCTCCTGAGACAAGCCAGCCATGAAGAGCAGAGGGCCCGGGCTGTGTGAGCATGGGCCTCCTGGGCATGGGGGTGAACTGGGCTTCCGAAGCAGACCCACTTCCTGTCTATCCTGACGCTGCCCCCACCGCCTGCTGGGGGGAGGCGGAGCGGAGTGGGGAAAGTGCTGCTGGGGCTGGGGCCATCATAGGGATGCTGTGGGACAAGGGACATGCTTGCTCCCTGGACCGCTGAGGGAGACGAGCCAGGAAGGGACAGGGGACAAGTCTTGGGAGCAAAGGCAGCGAATGCTGTAGCACTACCCCCGGAGCATCCCGTCACAGCGTTTCGGCATCCCCCTAACCAGTCTCAGCCCCCAGATGCTCCAAGCCCCCTCTGCAGTGCAGCCACTCTGATGAATTCACAGCCCTGCTGAAAAGCCTTTAACGCCCCTGTTTGCTCTAGGATGTCGCATAAACGCCCTAGCCTGGCACTGACATCTGGGCTGCGCTCCCCACCCCAACTCTGCCACTCCAGGCCTGCTTTCCTGCATCCCCTCCCCTGCCAGGACCACCCACCTTTCTGGCTCAGCTGCCACCCCCACAGAGCTATCTTCATGGGCCCGAGAGCCCTTGGCGCCTGCCATCGTACCCTGAGCATGCCTGTGCTCGGCATATCCTGCATGGTGCGGCACCACTGCTAGCTGGAAGCCTGGCTGTCCTGCCAGGACAAAGGCCCAGTGATCTCCCTGAAAGATGCACACAGACTCCCAGCCGTCGGGTCAACGCTGAGACAGCGGCCCTATAGGACAGGGTAGGATGCTAGATTAATAAAAAAAGATTCAATGTCCAAGCACCCAGTCAAGGGTTTCTGAAAAGTGGGCTTAAAAACCAACATTCCTTCCCCTCTGTCGCCCAGGCAAGGCGCTGGGTGCCCTCTTATGCCTCCCAAGCCATTCAGTCCTTCATTTAGAGTTACTTTTTGAGCACCTTTATGTTTCAGCCCCTGTTCCAGACTCCAGAGAAACAGCAATAAATGATACAATTCCCAGTCTTCATAGTTCATGTGTTGTTCTCTCTGCTTGTCCCATGTGGTGTCCTGGGCAACTCAATCCGTCTGCCCCTCCATAAGATGGACATGCCACCTCACCTCCCAGGATGGCAGGAGGGACACCTGACACAGGCAGTGGGGGAGGAGCAGCCCCAGTGTCCCCTCGCCCCTTGGGGCGCTTCCCGCAGGACGGGCCTCTCAGCACCATTTGCTGGCCCCCAGACTTCTCCCTGCCGGGAAGGGGCTCACTCTTAGGCAACTTCCCCATGTTTGGGGAGGTCTTTGATCCCAAACTGCCTGTATTAAGTCATTATTAATTTAGCTCCCATGCTTTATTAATCAAAGACATAGATAGCTGCCCCTCCAAGTTTCTGATCTGCACAGCCAGCCAGGAACAGCCCGAGGTTGGCATAACCCCAGCCAGGGGCGCAGGACGGCTGCACTGCCTGTGTGTGCGGTCTGGGTGGCCCGAGGCAGGTAAGGAGACGCATCTTCCTCGTTTTCTTTCCATTGCTAGAGCATCACGGAAGCTGCAGGCCTGGCCCAGGAGGGAGCTGCCTCCCCAGGGGGTCTCCACCAGGGGTGGGGGGTGAGTTATTCAGGGACCAGGCCCCCAGTCCCCAGGGCTCATTCCCAGTAGACAGCATGCACCAGTGCCACACAGAAGAGCGTGGGGCTCACGTACTGGGAGGTGGCGAAGCTGTCTGAATGCGGGTCCCACAGGCTCTGGCTGGTGACCGTCACGTCATCCTGCCCCTTGCTGCCAATGCTGACGGCACAGACCAGCTTGTAGCGGGGCGGGGTGACCGTCTTCACCAGGTCCCGGATCTCCGCACTCAGAGATTCTGCCAGGTGGGCGCACTGGGTGGGGTGGTAGGCCACGCCCGCCAGCGTGGAGGGCAGGTGAGCCTGCATCAGCTCCTGAGCCTGGACGCAGGGGAACTTCACCTCTGGCCTGGCCGACCACAGGGGCACCTAGGACAGAGAACACAGAGTGGGGTGTGGAACCTGGTGTGTTGGGCATAGGCTAAGGTACCAGATTTTAACATTGGAAAAGCGGGACACCATCGATAAAACTCATATCCTGGCGAAACAGTCACATGGCAGCCGAAAACCTTATACCCTAACTTGTCATGTGTTCTTTCCAAAAATCGGGATTTTTTAAAAACACTGCCGGGTGCTGGAAAAATTGTTAAAAATTGGGACTGTCCCGCCTAAAGCGGACTGTCTGGTCACCTTAGCATAGGCCCGTGAGCAGATTGGGAACATGGGTGGGAAGTGGAATGCAGCCTTGAGCATCTTAATCCTGTAAAGACCTGTGTGGGATCCAACGTCCCCCCACCCCCACCCCCACCGCAGGAACCCAAGCCGAAGAAGCACAGAGGGGGCAGGGAGTTCATGGCCATGGGGGAGTGCGGTAGTTACGTAATCTGCTGTCAATTTGAGACTTGAGAGTGAAGGGGTGGAGCTTAGCCTTTCAATCAGGTTGCAGCTTGATGACCTCATTTGGAGGTGCTAAGGAGATAAATAGCTCACTGGAGGTGGAGACACACTCACGCTCCCTGTAGGACATCCCTGTTGACACATGGAGCTACGCTGATGGCAGCCAGAGCCTGGGAACTGAAGGAGCTACATGGAGACCCACACCAGCACTAAGATGCTTCCACTGCCACTGGATCCACAAGACTTTCCACTCACTGGCCTGTGATCTTCCTGCACTCAGCATCATTGAATGTGTTGCGTGAGTCACCCACAGCTCACAGCCTCAAGTGGCTTGGGTGGCCATGGGCACCCTGCGTACCTGTTCCTGGATGATGCTCACGGGCCGGGGCCAGTCCAACTGGAGCCGCGACTTTGTTCTGGAGGATGTCCGGTTCTGCAACGGGACAACAGGACAACAAGCCCTGGGGCAAACTGCATGTGTGGACTGTCTGCTGCAAATCAGAGGTGGTCATATTGGGGTTTTCCCCACACCAGACCATGAGCAAGGATCTGGGTGGAGAAGTTTCTATGAGAGGTGGGGGGCCACCCAGTGAAGGAGTGTTCACAGGCAGGTCACCCCTGGAGGCAGCTAGCCCACAGCCAGAGAGGCCTGCTACCCCAGGGCCTGGAGCACAGGACGCCCTTGTCTTACAGAAACTTCCAGAGTGGGCAGGACAGGTGGCATCCAGCATATAAGGTCTCATGCCCTTCAGGGATCAGCAGCTTCCTCCGTGTAAGGCGATTCTTCGCCTTAGAGATCACGTAGCTTGTACAGAAGGTGGCCCTCTCCCGTGAGGCTTGGACCCAGGACTGCGGCCCCTCCTGGCCCAGCACCCCATCCTTGCCTTATCTACACGCTTCACTCAGCTTGCTCACTGCTGCAGGCACACAGAGGCTTGTTGGGTCAAGTGGTCGAGACTGTGGGAAAGTGCTCAGCACAGTGCCCGTCCTCAGTGGACCTTCCTCTGTCCCCTCCAAGCAGCCTGTCCAGCCCCGTGACCACCTTCCAGGAGCAGCCCCTGAGCCTCCAGCAAAACACATCTTTTCCTTCAGGACAATTTTGAGAATATCTCTCCCGACCAAATCCAACTACCACGGAAGCCCATCAGGCCCCCAATGTTCACCAAGCAAAGCACCGGCCCGCAGCTTCACTCCATGCCCCTTGGCAAATGCGCCCGCTCTGCCAGTCTCTGTGCCCGCTCTCTGAGGAGTTGCCTGAGCCTCCTCATGTCTCTTCACTCCTCCTCTGCAGGCTCCCTTGTACCCCGCCCTGCACCCCATCTGCTCTCAGAGCCCTTGTCAGCAGCAGTGGGTGACGATGCCGTCAGCGCCCTCTTTGCTGGGCCTCCGTGTCTTCACCCTCCAGCGTCAGAGCGCCCCAAGGCGAAGGCAGAGCACCGCTCCTTCACATATTCTGCACGTGGTTGTGAGCAGCGCGGGCTCTCTGCCAGCACCTGGAGGACCCTCATTTTGGAGGGGTCCCAGCTTCCCTGGCCGGGCAGTGGGGACAGGTGCTGAGAAGTAGGAACAAGGCTGGCAGCCTGCCGGATACATCCCGTGAGCATGGGGTTCACGCCATTCTTTTGTATGATGATTATTAATCATTTTGTTGGGGAGTTCCTACAAATCTTATCACCATCCATCATTCATCCAAGGATTAAGCACACTTGGACACAGGTTGCCATCAACATTTCAAAAACTTTTTCTTTCTACATGAGTCCTGGGATCAGCTCCTCTTTCCCCCTCCCTCCCCGACCTGCTCCACTCTTTCAGCCCTCTCCGGGCCTCAGTTTCACAGAGGGAGCGAGGAGCACCCTGCAGTCCTTGCAGCCCTGCTGACCCTTACGGGTTGCCCAGGTCCTGGTCTTGGTGCCCTCCCCCCCCACCCCGCCCCTACCCTCCGCCCCTACCCCCACTCACCTTGAGCTCCCTGGTGATCCTGCGTGCCGCGAGGAGGCCCCGGAGGCTGAGCATGGCAGCGTCTGCATCCGGGCTTTCCGAGGCTGCTGCGCGGCTGGCTCCTCTTCTGGATGACGGGGTACCTGACGGCGGAGCACTGTTGCCTTGACTGGGGTGACCAGCGGGCTGAGGGGAGACACAGGTGGGCAGGTTGGAGGCAGGAGTGAGCAGGACTCTCTCAGTCCAGCAGACCCCAAGGGCCTTGGCTCCTCTTTGCTGTCTGCCTCTCCAGGCGTCCAAGGTCCCCCTGCTCAGACGTCCACTTTCCCACCCCCCTTCGAGTGGGCCTGCAGGTGGGTAGAACTAGTACAGTCAGACGTGGGTTCAAATCTCAGCCCTACCACTGAATTGATGGGTGGTGGTGGGCAAATCCCTTAAGCGCTCTAAGTTTCAGCATCCTCATCTGTAAACCAGGGTCATCGTCTTCCTTCTTGACACAGATGCTTTGGGACACCTGCCCTGCACCAGGTGCTGAGATGCAGCGATGAACAAGCTACGGGTCTCCGCCCCTCGTGGTGCAACGGTGGTGGCCGGGACAGTAAGGAGCCCCGGGGTCTCCACCAGCAAGGGCGGCCTGCGGCTGGATTATTCCCTCCCCTCACTGAGCTGTTGGGATTGAATGGGATGATGTCCACAGAGGACCAGGCACTGGGCCTGGAGCTTAGTAGAGGCTCACTAAGTGCTCGTGGGATACACAAAGCAGCGAAGGCCACCTTCACTTCAGGAGCCCTCGAGGGGCCTTGGGTGGCGCAGGGGCTAAAGCACCGGGTTGCTAACCTCCAGCCTGGCAGTTCAGACCCACCGTCTTCTCCCTGAGAGCAAGCTGAGGCTACCTGCTCCAGGAAAGATTTTGCGTGGAGAACCCGGAGCCGGTTCCTCTCTGTCCTGCAGGATCGCCACAGGCTAGAAGGGACTTGGTAGCAGTGGGTGTGGGTTGTCAAGATCCCAGCCTTGGAAACTGTGAGGCAGGTCCTTCTGTCCCGTCGGCTCATTATGGGCTGTAGCTGCCAGGCCACAGACAGCCAACACCGCTGCCACCCTGACCTCGGAGCCACCTGGGTGGCACAAAGAGTGGCACACTCTACCACTAGCTGACATGTTGGTGGTTCGGACCCAACCTGAAGGCATCTTGGGAGGCAGGCCCGGTGGTCTGCACCTGCCCTGACACAGCGTAGAGCTGAGCAGCAGTAGTTCTACTGTGGGTCTCCGAGGGCCTCCCGAGCGAGTCCGCGCCACGACCAACAACCACCCTCACCTGGCCCGGCCACCACAGATTTAATTTCATTTTCGCTCATGCCGAGCTCACAGCATGCCCTGGGCCCGACACAAATCTTAGCTCAGGCCCCTATTGTACCGACGGGACAACGGAGGCCAAGAGGGGAGGGAGGTTACGGAGCGTGCCCACAGCCGCGTGGCCTGGTACACAGCTGGCAGAGCAGGAGCTCGGCAGATGCTTCCTTGTGGGGCGGGGGGTTCGAGGCTTGGTGTCCAGTGCAAGGCAGGGCCCGCTGGGCAGGCTGCCTGGGGGAGCTGCCCTCGGCCCAGGAGCTGGCCAGATGGTGGCTGTGGAGAGGCTGCAGGCGTGAGGACAGGAAGACAGGGTGGGGGTGGGGGGGGACACGGACGGCTTCTGGGAGGTGGGAGGTGGGAGCTGGAGGCAGGGAAGGGCAACTTCTGTCACCTTGAACTTCCTGAGCGTGCCTTGGCTTGTTACAGGCTCCAGCCAGGCCTAAGAAGCAAGACTAATTGGACATCAAAAGGGGAGTGGGGAGGGGCCGGGTGTGCTTTGTGTCTCTCCCCACCCGGGGGCCTCCTGGTTTTCTGCAAACCCTCCTCCTAGACCCCCTCTGGCGGGCCTCCGGGGAGCCCCTGCCTTGTTGCTGGGGAGAATCCTGCGTGTGAATTCCCGGCATGGCCGACCTTGGGCAGTTCTGCTCCCCAGGCTGCAGCCAGGACAAGTGCTCAGTCCTCGGTCACTGCAGGTGCCACTTGAGGGGCTAGTGTGGCCAAGGTGGTGCATCTGCAAACACAGTGCCCTCCCACCAAGCTCCATCCCCTCCCCACCCCCCAGGGCGATCCTAGGCTGAGGGACTGCCCAGCGTTACACAGCAGGGGAGGGGAAGGAGGACCCCCTGGGCGTTTGAGCCCCAACCTGTTGCTCTTTCCACTAAGCCATTGTCAGAGCTAGGACCCTGCCTTGGGGCAGGGGGGAAGCCACTCACATGAGGGCACTCTGCCTGGTCCCCCAGCTCCTGTTCTGGGACCATGGCCTTCCCTGCGGCCCTCTGTTAGGCTGTGATGGGTCAGGCCCCCTTCTCTGTGGGGCTGGAAGAGCCCACAGCTGTTTGACTCCCACAGGGGCGGCTACGCCAGCCCCTTCTCACCTTCTTCCCGTTGGTACAGGAGCCCGGGCCTGTGAAGGTCACACCCTTGTCTGCAGGCTCTCGGGAAACCTCATCTGTGGCCCGTCTAGACTTCCGGGTCGTCATTCCCAGGCCTTGGGAGAACAGGGCCGAATGACTAGAAGAGAAAGAGCAGAGATCAGTCGGGAGAGGAGAGGGAGGAAGGTCCCAGCCCCAGGGAAGTGTGGCTCCTCCAAGTGGCAGGAGCCAGAGAGCCCCCACTGGCCACTCTGCCCCAACCCCTCTGGCCTTCCGCGGTGTCACAGTCAGACCTGCTCCTCCCTCCCCCTGCCTGTCCAGCTTCCTCTCTGCCGGTGGTCCTCTGCCTCCCTGTGTGTATTCCTGTTCCTCCTCACCTCCTCGGTCACGTGCCCCCCCCCCCAACACTGTGCCAACCCCTGGCCTTCAGGTGCCCAACAAGGGAGCGCAACCTGGCACAGCCCTCCACACCAGCCGAGCGAGACCTGCAGGGGGCGGGGTGGTGAGGGCAGTAGGAGTGGGTGTCCCCTGGCCCCCCACGTCCTGGCCTTTGTCCACAGGCACACCCTCAAGGGAAAGTCCCAGGTCCCCAGGGTGCTTGTTAAGAGAAAGACATGGCTCCCTGGGACCCAGCCAGCCACCCCCAGGGGCGGAGCCTCACTGCTCCCGGCCCTCCCCCAGGCCCCTTTGTCCACCCAGGGAGTCCTGGGGGTCTAGCTCCTGGCTAGCCCAATCTTGCCCCCGTACTAGTAACAGGACGGATGCAGATGAGAAACCAGGGGGCCCTGGTACAAGGGTGCATACAGAGTTCCCCCCGGGCATACACACAGACATCGCACATAGCTGGGCACCCCCTGAGCTATATGAGCCCAGAGCCACAACCCCATCTCCTCAGCCACACTCAGAGGTAAGCAGTGTACATGGAGACGCTGGCCTGCACCCCAGACAGATGTGAAATTAGACAGATGTGCACTTAGACCTGTGGACCAAGCCAGGGACAGCCCCTCAGACAGCCCCTTGCGCGTCTGCAGAGAGAGCACTGTGCTCACAGACAGCTGGGCACCTGTTGGGGTAGGTGTGCGCCCACAGACACAGAGGGGCAGACCTGTGCCTGCAGTGATGTGAGCACTCAGCGGTGGGCATTTACACACAGGCACCCACAGTATCTGTTGAGGGGGGGGGTGCTCTGGCAGAGAGATGTGTCTTCACAGCATACCCCCAGGAGGGAGGCAGCCATCCACAGTGGACAGAAAGCATGCACAGAGAGAAGGGCTGTGGGGTCCACAGGCTACACAGAGACGGACACGCGGTGCACAGGCACAGCCAGGGCATGTCCACGCTCAGACTCCTCCACGGGTGTACCCCGTGTCCAAGGCAAACGAAGGGAGACGGGGAGCACATGACCAGCAGGCACAGGACACCCCAGAGAGGGGCAGGCACTCGCAGGTACAGAAACAGGCACCGGGCAGCAGAGCCCTTGGACAGCATCCGCCCCGGTGCATACTCACCACATCCAGGAGAGCCTGTGTGTGCCAGGCTCCGGCTGCTGCCGGCCAAGTCCGCTGTAAGAGGAGAAGGTTTCCAGGCCAGGAGACCCCCCTGGATGTTTGAAATGGTCTTCAGGACTCGGCCCTTGGGAGTCGGCAGGCAGGGCACTGCCAGGCACCCAGGGGCGACTGGTCTTGTGGGCGGCACAGGCACTCCCTAATGACCCTGGCCATTGGTGGGCCTTTGTTCTTTCTCCACACCTCCCCTGGGGTCCGGGAGACAAGCCCCGGGCAGGGGTGCTGATTAGTGGGAGGGGAAGGTAGGCAGCGGGAGGCCCCACCCAGAGGTGACTTCAAGGAGAGGTAGGTCTGTGTAGCATGTGGAAAACAGTGGAAGGGAAATGTGGGTCAGCACGTGTGACAGGCCCCAACCGGCCGCTTCAGAAACCAGCAGGGCTTCACGGGATCAACTAGAGGGAACTACACCCCTTACCACCTACCCACCCATGTCTTCCCAACAGCCCAGCAGAATAGCAACCATTCTCTGTGCTTCCCAGATGAGGGGACGGGCCTGGGGAGATGCCGTGGCTTGCCAGAGTTCCCACAGCCCGAGTGCCCGAGCTGGGATTTGAGCCCAGAGGTAGTCTTGGTCCCAGAGTCCTGTGCTGACCACCACCCTGACTGCACTTCTGCCCCTGTGGACAGGGTGGGAAGCACAGGCGTTGCGCTCCAATGATCCTGGGTTCTAGTTGGCAAGGACACTTCCGGCCAGGGTGTCCTGAGCAGTTCAGTGCCTGAGTGACCACTGGTGAGGCCCCCTGTGCCAAGCACGAGGATGAAAGCCAAGAAGACCAACCCCCCGCCTGCGTGGAGGGCACGCACAGAGGGGGCACTCGCCCTGCTTGAGAGTCGGGAGGCCGGGACCCCTTCCTGGAAGAGGCTGTGAAGGCCGAGTAAGAGCCCATCCTGGGAAGATGGGCGGACCGTCCAGGCTGAGGGCCCAGTGTGAGAGCTCTGATGTGTTAGTCCGGGATTAGAGAAACAAATTCATAGGTATATATGTGTATAGGAAAGAGTTTTATATAAAGAGTAATTGCCAGTCCAGATCAAGTCTGTAAGTCCGATATTAGCCCCTATGTCTGGTGCTAGTCCATGAATTCTCCAGACTCACGCAGCACATGCAATGACGTCAAATGCAGGAAGATCACAGGCCAGTGGGTGGAAAATCTTGTGGATCCAGTGGCGGTAGAAGCATCTCAGCACTGGCGTGGGTCTACACGTGGCTCCTCTGGCTCCAGGGCGCTGGCTCCATCAGCATGACTTCATGTGTCATGTCAGCAGGAAGATGAAGCAGAGAAGGTGTGTCCTACCTCCAGAGAGGAAGACTGGAGTTCCCAGAATCCTCAGGAGAAGGCCATGTCCACACCGAAGCCTCATTGGCTGTGACCTGATTGACAGGCTAGACTCCACCCCTTTGCTCACCTTGACGGGAGATTTTGTAACTGCCAGAGCTGAGAAGGGCCGTGTGGGCACCATGTGGAGCTCACCCAGTGGAGAGGAGGGTCCGTCCTGAGGTTGCTGGGGCCGTGGTATGGTCCGATGAGTGCTTCAGAGAGAGGGGAGTAGAGAGTGTTTGGGGGTAGGTGGGGAGCAGGCAAGAGCAGAGGAGGCTACTGTGGCAAGGCAGGATCGCTGCTGTCATTGTTAGGTGACCTTGAGCGTCCCCTGGCTCATAGCTACCCGACATAGGAAAGAATAAAACGTTACCGGTCCTGTGTCGTCCTGCCACCTGTTCTCAGGTGAAGCTCATCACTGCAGCCCCGGTGCCAGTCGTCTAGTGGAGGGGCTGTGTTAGACAGGGTTCTCTAGAGAGATAAAACCAAATTGCTGATAATTTAATATATTTATTTATAAAGATAATTAGATATATAACAAGAAATGAACTGTTAAATCATATACAGATAAATGTATAATACAAGAAAGAAACAGTTAAATTATAAAGCACTACAAATGGCTCAATTCAACTCACTCCCATGAGAGACTTGTGAGAGACTAGCAGTCCTTCAAGTCCTGTCTGCTGCCAGATCTTCCTCTATTTATAGAGAGAGCTAGGCTATGTCGGCACAGCAGCCAATCAGAAGGCAGGTCACCAACTGCCAGCCAGGTCACCAACTGCCAGTCCCCAGCTCCAGAGATGTCTTAAAGGGACCTCAACTTACAGCGACACAGTCCACAGGCTAGGCGTCTCACAGGCAGTGTAGCCTTTAAATTGAGACACAGGACAAGCAAGGCAGCCACACACTGGTCCGATGATCAAAGAGCGAGAGACAAGAAAGGCGAGGCTCACCAAGCCATTTATCTCTCTGCCCTTCAGTTAATCCCACTTGTGTTTATCGGCCAGGCTGGCACAATAAACTATCTCAATTGGAGGGGCGTTCTCTTTTCTGCTGCCCCTCTACTTCACCAAGCATAATGCCCTTCTCCAGGGGCTGATCCCTTCTGACATGTCCTACCTATTTGAGAAGGTGTGTTGCCACCATAAGGAAGATTCTCCTGTACTATTTCCAGGACAGATTTGCTTGTTCTTTCGGCAGCCCCTGATACTTTCAGTATTCCTCGCCAGCACCATCATACACATGTATCAATTCTTCTGTCTGCCTTCAGTGTCCAGCTTTCACACGTGTGGGAGGCCATGGAAAAGACCCTGGCTTGGGCGCACCTTAGACCTCAAAGTAACAGCTTTGCTTTTCAACACTCTAAAGAGGTTTTGTGCAGTCGATAAACACAATGAAACGAGTCATTCGATCTCTTGACTGCTGCTCCCATGAGCACTGCTTGTGGAACCAAGCGAGATGAAATCCTTGATAACTTCAACCTTTTCTCCTTTTATCATGATGTTGCCTATTGGTCCAGTTGTGAAGAATTTGGTTTTCTTTACATTGAGTTGTAATCCACACTGAAGGCGTCAGTCCTTGATCCTCATCAGCAAGGGCTTCGAGTCCTCCTCACTGTCAGCTAGCAGGGTCGTATCACCTGCATATGGAAGGCTGCTACCAAGCCTTCCTCCAGTCCTGGTGCCCCATTCTCCGTCCCATAGCCAGCTTCTCTGGTGATTTGCTCAGCATACAGATTAAATAAGTAGGGTGAGAGGATACCACTCACTCCTTTCCTGATCTTACACTATGCAGTATTCCCTTGTTCTATTCACACAAGTGTCTTCTGATCCATGAACAAGTTCCACATGAGCACAATGAAGTGTTCTGGAATTCCCATTCTTCTCAGCATTATCCGTAGTTTGTTATGATCCACACAGTCACGTGCGTTTACATAGTCAATGAAACACTAGTAAACATCTTCCTGGTATTCTTTGCTTTCATCCAAGATACATCTGACTCAGCAAGGATATCCCTGATTCCACGTCCTCTTCTGAATCCAGACTGAATATCTGGCAGCTCCTGTCAATGTTCTGGGGCAACTATTGCTGGATGATCCTTAGCAAATGTTACTTACATGCGTGTGATAGGTAGGCTTGTTGTGCCAACCTGGCCAATAGGAACATGCGGGATTAACGAGGTCACAGTTTGATTGGAGGGCAAAGAGATAAATGGCTCAGCAAGCCCCGCCTTCTCGCTCTCTGGGGATCAGACCAGCATGCTGCTGCGTTAGCTAGTTCTCTGCCCCAACTCGTGAGCTACCTGTGGGTCAGCCAACCCGTGGATCCTGTCACTAAAGCTTGAGGTTCCCTGGAGACCTGCTTCACCACACTGCTGGTGTGTACATCGCTTGAGCTTGCTTGAGCTCAATATCCCATCAGGGCCTGCTTCACTAAACTCCCGAGCTGCTGACTGTTGGTGACCTGCCCTGCTGTGTGCTGCCTGTGGCCTGGCTGCCTGCCTTAGCCTACAGAAGACTCAGCTGTCTGCTTCCTTGACCTTGGACCCGGCAGCCCTCCTGAGTTGAAGGACTTCCAGTATAGTAACAGCTCCACAGAAGTGAGTTGAACTGAGCCCTCAGTACTGCTGTGTGGACTAATGAGCTGTTATAGTCCTGTGTGCTGTATAAACCTATCGTATATATGTGTGTGCGTCCTGGTTTTGTTTCTCTAGACGGCCCTGTCTAACACACTGTGAGGACAATGATCTTGTTCCGCAAGTTGTGCATTCTGTTGGGTCACCTGCCTTTGGAAGGGGTACGAAGATGGGCCTCTTCCAGTCAGCTAGCCACATGGCTGCCTTCCTATTGCCCGAGATCAGCAGAGGACACAGCCTTGCTTGGCAAAAGCAGAGAGGATTTGAAGCACTTGATGAAGGTCAAAGACAATATATATTCTTCCTCCATGTAAACCAATCAAAAATCCTCACAAGAGGACCAGTCGGCGACACCGTGATGCACGGAGAAAAGACTGACGTATCGAGGGCTTCATTGCATTCGCACCACCAAGCCCGCCCACGGAAGCAGCGGCCAAGAAAGCAGAGGACACACCGCCTCGGGCAGAGCATCTGCACGCGATCTCTTTCACGTGTTAAAGAACAAAGAGCCCAACGGGGGACGAAGGTGCTCCTGACCCAAGCGTGGAATTTTCGGTGGAATGTATTTTGATTCCGTTTCCGTGGCCGTTCTGCAGTCCCTCCTATGAACGGGAAAGGCAGCGATGAGGAGAGAAGACGAAGCATAACGGGTGCGTGTGAGTGACAGTGTTGGCAACGACGGTGGACAATGCCACGGCGTACTGGAAGGACAACCACATCTGTCCTGAGAACGTCCAGCCAGAAAGCGCTTTAGAAGCAAAGATGGAGAGACTTCTTCTCGCGTCGTTGGGACGCGTTACTGGGGACCAGTCCCTGGAAAAGAACATCATGCTTGGCAAAGCGGGGGTCAGCGAGAAAGAGGAGGGGCCTTCGCGAGCTGGACTGGCACAGTGGCTGCAGCAACGGACCCCAAACATGCCAACAACCGTGAGGATGGTTCGGGACTGGCAGGATTTGGTTCTGTTGCTGGTGGCTGCTAGTCGGAATCGAACCGATGGCACCTACCAATAACAACAAGCCGAGACCGTGACGGGGAAGGCAGCGATGTGCCACGTCTCCCCCAGTCACACCCAAGCCTGGCAGGGTCTCTGCAGAGAGAAGGCGCTAAGGAAAACGCGCAGGGCTGACCGGAACCACATCAAAACAGCCCCAGGGCAACGGAAGAGCCGTTCTTCTTTGTTGGCCGCAGAGCGGCGTTCCTGCAGCTGCAGTTCCTAGCACTGGGCCTGGCACGCCAGCCCACGGACACCAGGTACATGCTGACCCGTGGCAGCCCTCTGCTGGGTTTCTAAGACTGTACATCATTACAGGAGCAGACAGCCTCGTCTTTTTCCCAAGGAGCAGCTGGTGGGTCTAAACTACCGACCTGGCTGTTAGCAGCTCAGCGCTCAAGAGAGTCTGCCACCAGCGCACGCAGCGATGTCCCCGTGGGTCCGTGGAGGAGTGGGCATTTCATATTCCTGGCCAGACCCATCATTGCAGGAAAATCCCCAAAAAACAAATCCCTTGCCATCCAGTTGACGCTAACTCGTGGCCACCCCGCATGTCCGAGTGGAACAGTGTCCAAACGGAACAGTGTCCAAGCGGGAGATCAACGGCCGTGATTGCCGGAAGGACGTGGCTAAGTCCGGCTTTTGAGATGTGCTGGATGCATTTTGTCTGCCAGCCTTGCAGCCAGCAACCGAGTTCTGAGCCATTCTCACGGCCGGGCTCCGATTAGGAGCTGCGAACCACAGCTTTCTAATTCTGCTCTCCCAATTGCATTCTTCCACAGACGGGAATTCTGCCTCGTCAACTGTCCAGCCCCACCATCCTCTTGTCCTCTGGCCCAGGTCCTCAGGTCTCAGGGACACGCGCCCTGCATGCAGCACTCCTCAGCGCCTCCTTTTGGCTCTCCCATGGGCGAGGGACGAGACAGTCTAACAAGGACCTACTGTGTGCTTTAGTACAGGTTCCCACAGTTGATCCTCACAGCAACCTTAAGACTGACAGATGAGAGGACAGAGGCCCCAAGGGGTTAGGTGACTTGTTCAAGGTAGCCAGGCAAGTTAGACTAAACTGGGATTGAACCCAGAACTCTGCCTCCAGAATTGTGCCCTTTCTCCACCACATTTCCTCCCAGGCTCTGGCCACCTCCCTTCCCAACCGCAAGTCCAGTGCAGATCTCAGAATGTGTCAACCCAGTGACATTGGATGCGTCACCTTAGGGTGGGTGGAGGAAGCACCTGGGGATCAGTTTACTAATTCGAGGGACGATGAATTATTCACACCGCCATTAACTTAGAGGCCCTATCGGTCTCACCTCCCTTCCCCTGCTCCAGACCCCCGGATCCTGGGGCCTCTGGTCTCCCCACTTACTTGAGCTCTGCAGGCCTGTGGGGGCCCCTGGCGAGAAGATGCTGGCAGAGCTGGGGTCCTGTTTGCTGCTGGCAGCAGCACTGCTGGGCCCAGGGCCCAGGGTTCGAGCCATGAAAGGTAGGAGCCCTCCGCGGGGGACGGTCCAGGACGGAGAGGTGGGAGGGAGGCTGGGCAGACCATCTGGGGCTCGGGAGACTTCAGCGTGGGAGCCAGAGGCTAGAGGGTCTTTAAGGGCATTTGACGGAGATGAGGATACCTCTGTTTCTGAAATGGGGCAAAGGAAATACTCCTTTGGGTGCTGATTTACTCTAGGGCTTTGCATGCATGTCATCTTCACAAGGAACTTCGCAATGCCGATTTTACAAATGAGGAAGCTAAAGATGAGAGAGGCAAACGAACTTAAAAACCAAGCTCCTTGCTACCCAGCCAGAGTTGAAGTATCCCGGTAGGTTTCCAAGGCTGTGAATCTTCACGGGTGCAGACAGCCTCATCATTCACCGGCAGAGCAGCTGGTGGGCTCAAACTGGTGACCTTGCAGCCCACCACACCACCAAGGCCACAGAAGTTGTATTGCTGGCAGCACAGACATATCCCAGCTAAGGGATGGCACGTGCCCTGGGAACAACGGAGTGGGGCCACCCCTGAGACGTTTCTATTCTCCAGGGCAGTTTCCACGAACAGCTGTGAGAGATGGTTCAGCAAGTTAAAAGTAATACTTCCAAATTTAAGCGCCTTCCTGGGTCAAGACCTGCTGTAAGAGCTTTCCCTCTGCCCAAAGAGCTTCTCTGTGCGGCGTGCTCTTGAGTTACTTTAGCAGGCAGGGGCCCGTCGTCGGATGGGTCTGGTGGGCAGAGAAGCGTATTTCTTGCTGTCTAGGGTCTGTGCGTGGACATCTGTCTTACTGTGGTTATCTGCCATGAGCCGGAGAGGCTTGGATAAACAGGAGACCAGCCCAGGGCACTTCCGTCCCCACTCCCTGTACTTCCAGAGGACCCCACGTTCTCTCTCTGGGGTCTCAGGCTGACAGGCCGCCCTTGCCCCCTTGGTCTTTGCTCCACCCCGCCAGTATGTTGCTCTCTCACAGTGGGCTGACCACCCGTGGGCCAGGTGGTGGGGCTGGCCAGTGGGCGGGAGCACAGGTGAACCCTGATGGTCACAGCCCAGGCCGAGTCCATGCTGTGCATGCCAGGGGAGCGGGTCGGTCTGGAGACTCCTCTCCCACAGGCTCGGGCTCGGGCGGTGCCTCTGCCGGGAGGGCCGGGACTGAGGAAACCCAAAGCCCAAACCCACAGCATCAAGTCCATTCTGACTCATGGCAGCCCCGAGGAGGCTTCTGAGACTGAGAGTCTGTACAAGAGCAGACAGACAGCCTCGTCTTCGTCCCATAGACTGGCTGGTGGATTTGAATCACCCACCTTGAGGTCATCAGGTCAGCGCTTCCCCACCAGCACCACCATGGCTGCAAAGGCAAAAGGCTTTTTGCCCAGTGGTTCTCAATCTTCCTCATGCCGCGACCCTTTCATACAGTTCCTCATGTTGTGGTGACTCCCCAACCATAAAATTATTGTCCGACCCCCAAAGGGGTCGCGACCCACAGATTGAGAACCACTGTCCAAGACCGTCTCACCAGTGAAAGTCAGGAGGGGCAGTGGTCACTTTAGGGCCCGTCCAGTAAAGGACCCACGCGTGTTTCTGCGCACATGGCGCTGTAAAACTGGCCAAAAGATGGACGTTAGGTGTTTGGACGGAGTGGGATTCCAGTGTTTGCCAGCGGCCCCATTTGCTGTGGACATGCCTCTGGCTGCAAAGAGTAGACTCTTACCTTGGGAACCAACTGACCCCGACCCCACAGTGTGCAGTAAAACTGCTCCCTTAGGGCTTCTGGAGCTGTAAGTTGTTGCAGGGGTAGACCACCTCATCTTTTCCCCAAGGAGAGGCTGGTGGGTTAGAACTCCTGACCTTGTGATTCAGTGCCCAACACAGAACCCACTACACCACCAGGGCTCCTTGGTCCCCAGGGCCAGCAGATGAAACCGCAGTTTTGGGGTGCAGCATTCAGTGGGCTTCACAATGTGCGCCTCAGGCAGCCTGCGCGCTGAGGCTGCTGCCCGGGAAGCTGTCCGTCCCAGGTGGAAGGTGGAACCAACGAGCTCATCCTTCAAGGCTCAGGTCAAGTACCACCTCCTCCAAGAGTCCTTCCACACCATAACCCTGGCAGGCTCCCTTCTGAGTGCCAGCCCCTCTGCCCATGCAGGCTTTTGATGGCCAAGGCTGGGGAAAGGGGGAGGAGACGAGATCAGCATTGGACAGACCGTCCCCTCTGTCCTTCTGCCATGAAGACACCATCTCTGTCCCAGGGCTAGGCGGGGAGCCAGCAGCTTGCCAGGATGTCTGTCTGCTCAGCCTTCAGCGCTCACAGCAACCCTGTGAGGGAGGCAGGGGCCATTATACCCATTCCAGAGATGCCTTACTGAGGCCCAGGGAGGCTTTGAGGTATTGTTCTCTCCCAAGCATGGTGTCCTGCTCCTTCCCCCAAAATGTGCCCCAACCAACCACACTCCCTCATTCTTCCTCCAGGAAGCTTGTCCTTCCTCAGGAGCCCCTGCCCTGGCAAGAGTGGCCTCCCTCTCTCTGGGCCTCCAGTCCCCACGTGGCCTTTCCTCCTGCCCGATCCCACTGCATGGCTTGGCCTCCTCGGTCCTACTCTTTCCCCACCTCCCGGCTCTCAGCTCTCCAGGTCAGGAGGCCCATTCAGCCCAGGCCAGGCCCAGGGATCGCTTGAAATGTATTCCTCAAGACTCATTTGGTTGCAAATGACAGACACCCAGCCAGGCGGAGTTGAAGGGATAAGTGGGATGCCAGGCTCTGTAGCCAGGAAGGCAGGCCTCAGGGGAGCCTGCAGCCAGGGCACCGAGTCCAGAGCGTGGTCTGCTGTCTGGCTTTCTCCCAGCCTGGGGCGAGAGGAGCCTGTTCCCCTCCAGGCATTCCAGAGAGAACTCTGGCCTGGCCCGAAGCACATGCCCGCCTCAGGCGCCAGGCACTGTGGTAGTGGTCGAGGGCCCCAGGACCAAGAAAATCCCCTGCCCCAGAGGGAGGCTTACCACCTAGAGGCAGAGCAAGGGAGCAGTGCTAAAACGGGGGGCGTTTTGTTGTAAAAGAAGAGGGGCCGAGGAAACCGAAGCAATGGCCACCCGCAACTGCAAGTGCTTTCCCTTTCCAGGCCTCAAGTTCTCATCTGCAAAACAGGGGCCAATGACTCCCAGTCTGCTATTTGGGGGACAGTTGTGAGGATGGTATGCTGTCGTTGTTAGGGGCCATCAAGTTAGTTCTGACTCACAGCGACCCTCTGTGCAAGAGAAGGAACCCCCCCACTCCCGCCCCCCCCTGCCCACCGGCACCCCAGGTCCTGCGCCAGCCCCGCAATTGTTCTTAGATTTGAGCAGCCACCGTGTCAGTCCGTGTCATGGAAGGTCTTATTCTCTTTCGCTGCCCCTCTACCAGTACGATGTCCTTCTCCAGGGACTGGTCTCTCCTGACAACGCGTCCAAAGTATTGGAGACGAAAAGTCTCGCCATCCTTGCGTCCAAGGGGCATCCTGGCTGTACTTCTTCCAAGACGGATCCAGTTCTTCTTTTGACAGTCCACGGTACTTTTGATGTTCTTCACCAACACCATCGTTCAAATGCACCGGCTTTCCTGCGGCCTTCCTTAGTCAATGCCCGACTTTCACCTGCACATAAGGTGATTGAAAGTATAAGATCGTGCATTTAAAGACTATACCCTGAACCTGGCAGTGCTGATGGTTAGGCACAGGGCGGCTGTCTGAAAGCGGGCAGGGTCAAGGTTGCTCCACAGGAGAAAGAGCAGGCTGTCTGTCTGCTCCTGTAAAGATCTCCAGCCTCAGAACCCCGGCGGGGGTTGCTGTAAGTCAGGATCGACCAAATGGCAGTGGATTTGAGTCCTGCTTTGTCAGATACTGTTCTACAACAGAGCCAAACAGACGTAAGTCCTTGCCCTGATGGAACTTACATTTAGCCGAGGAGCAACTGGCAAGGGCGAAAATGAATAAAGAAGATAAGCAGCATGTCACATGGTGGTGAGTGCTATGGAGAAACACCGGAAGAGGAGGAGAGGGCCTTGGGAGAAGCCTCCTGGGGGTGACTGTGCCTTGTGCTGGGGCTGCCCGAGCCGTGGTGGCTCCAAGAACAGAGATGTATTGCCGCGCAGTCTGGAGGCCAGGATTTCAAGTCTTCCACGCCCCTCCAAAGTCTCTGGAGGACGATCCTTGCTGGTCCCTTCCAGCTTCTGGTCGCCCCCAGCGCTCTTGGTTTGCAGGTGCATCTTACCCTGTCTGCCCTCAGTCTGTGCCTCCGTGAGGGGTCACCCCTCAGATGGGTTTAGGATCCACCCTGCTGCAATATGGCCTTACGTTAACTGCCAACAGTCTCAGTGACTCTAGCTCCCAGCAGAGCCCTTTCATGGGAACCAGGCGTGAGGATTTCAATAGACCTTTGGGGGACACAGGCCAGCCCATTACAGTAACCAAGAATATGCTAGCTTAAAAAAGACTTTTGGTTATGAAGAATTTGAAATCCACACAGCGTAGAGGAAAATGGTCTGATGAATCTCCATGATCGACCTCCTGTCTTTCTTGTTCCTCCTGTCGCGTCCGAAGAAATTGAAAACCAATCTCTAGATCACATGGCACCTCAGGATAGATCTCTAACCGAAAATGATGTCTATATATGAGTATGTGTGTATTTGTATAGACACATACATATATATGTGTATATATGTGTATATATATGTATATATTGGAGACTTCTAAAAGATTATGGGAAAATGGAATTTAAAGATACTGGAATCTTTGCATGAACTTTTTGAATCCTCTCTTAAACACATGCATACATGAAGGGGCTTTAAAAGTTGGTGGAAAAAATTGCATTATCTTTTATTTCTACTTTGCCAGGACAGTTTTGAAGCCCCTTCATCTCTGTGTGTGTGTGTAGATAGATCAGTAGATAGACAGACATAAAGATAGCTTAAAAAATAAATTTAAAAAAAAGATAGCTTAAAAAGTATTGCTACAAAACCGTAGAAACCTATATTTAG